AAAAATACACTTTTATAACCGTTTAGATTTTTTTTTAAATTTCTCAACATTTGACTCTATAAACAATTATTTATTTATTGCCCAGGGAATTTTCTATGCAAACGACAAAAGCTTGCAGACATAAAAACTATGTCGTAACCTCTTGCTTTTTAGCCAAATACGACATCATTCTACTGTGTAGATTCTGAGATATAGAAGCGTAAAGTTAATAATAATTTATAGTTTACGTAATCGTCAACTACAAGTACTTTCAATATCAGTTTAGTGCATTTTCGGCAGATAAAAGCTTAATGAAAGAAAAATCAAGAAAGGTACCGTGGTCACTGGAATTTCTTGGCAGAGCGGGAGTGGGGATGACTGAGAGCAGCTGCGCTGCCGCGCGCCGCGTGGGTTTTAAAATGCGTATGGGCGTTAAAAGATGACTTTTCTCGGGAACCGTAGCACTTATCAAGACGATTTTTTTTAAATTTGATATAGCAAAATGAGAGAAATACGAATATGTCATCAAAAATAAATAATTTTTGCACGTATTTTGAGTTTAAATAATTATGCCACTTCCGCTTGCTTTAAAAAAAGTTTTATTAGTTCCACGAAATTCACGATTAAATTAAAAATAAATTATTTTCTTATTTTAATTCATTGAAGTATAAAAAAATTTTTAGTTAAATTTATAACAGGAGGAAGTTGTTACTAAGAGGAAAAATTGTATAAAAATCGATAAATTCGATTAATTTGATTTTATTACAATAGATTATGTACATTAGGGTGGCCCAAAAAAAAACGATTATTTTATCATGTTTTAAGAGACCCCTCAAAAAATTAATTCAAAAAATTTTTTTTTAGGTCGCTCAAGATTTTTAAAAATTTCCAAAATCGTCAAAAATTGATTTTTTTTTAATTTTTTTCTCGTTATTTTATCATTTTCTAGGTTGAAAAAAATCTCGATTCTGAAAATGTCAAATCGATATTTTAATTTCTAAAGGTCACTCATAATTATTTTACCTTGAAAAATATTGTATTTAAAATGTTTTCGAGCGACTAAAAATAAATATCAACGAACTAATAATTTTTTTTTATTGAATTTGATGAATAAAAGAATAGAAATAAATCACGAGACACTTAAAAAATTTTTCGAGGCAAAATTTACTACCGCACTATAAGTATCAAATATTTATAATTTTTAAATTTTTTACAATGTGCGCCACTGGCTATCCCCTAACTTTTTTGTGTGTACGACAGTGAGAATTTATATTTTTAAAAATAAACACTATTTTACAAGATTTTTTGCCTCTTACAAAATTTTGATATCGTTTATGGATTTCGAGTAAAATTGGCATTTTTTTATACATTAAATATCGGCAAAAATTCGGATTACCAAAAAATTATTTATAGCTGCAGCCTCAACGCAGGGAATAATAATGAAAAAACTTCACATTAAAAAAATAAAATTAACTACACAATTTTAGTCTTAGTATCATCAATCAATAAAATAAATCAACACTAGTATTTTAAATAAACAATATCAACTAATAATATAAGAAAGTCAACATTAACATTTTAAATAAACCTAAATTGATATTTGTAATCACATTAAAATAATATTACAGTAAATGCTTAAAGTGACTTTCTTGTTCTTGAACGGAGGCATTAATTCTTCTTAGCAAATTAAAATGAATTTTATCCAATAATTGTGCATTACCTCTCATATCATTAATTTCATTTTGTATTCTTTCCCATAATTCGTTTTTCTGTATTTACTGAAAAGCTATAAACTGTGGTCCTTAATGCTCCCCAAAGGAAGTAATTACGTGGGTTTAGGTCCGGGAATCGAGGTGGCCTGTTAGGATAGTGCTCATTTAAATATTACCTTGTCGATAAGGCAAAATGGACAGGGTCCCATCATGGATGAAAATCGTATTCATTCGTAGAGTTATCGGTAACTCGGACCAATTAAAGTACTAGGTACCAATAATACCAACCCAAACATTCTTTTACTGATTCCATGTTGAATTTCATCACAATAAACAAGTTCATTATGTGAATTAAAAATACCCCTTCTAGTAAAAGCGGTTTCTTCTGTAAACAGGATTTTTTTGTGAATATTATCGTTTCTATTTCTGAGTTCCTGAATAAATTACCTGAAAGCAAGACGTGACGGAGGATCTCTTCATAGGTAAAAGTTCTTGAACTGATTGAAGGTGGAATGGATGTAATAACTGGTCTTTTAATACTAACTGAACTTTTTGAAAGCCAACCTCTCCCGCTAAACGCCTTGTACTTGCGGAATTTCTTCGACCCTTTAAAAAAAATTTGTTCCTTCAGCTGAATAGGTCTAGCCGTACGTTGTCCACGATTTAATGTTACAGGTAAAAAACATCCTGTTTCCCGAATGCGTCTCTCCACATTAGCAAATGTTTTGTGATTTGGAATTCTTCGATTAGGAAATCTTTCAGCATATGTTCCAACACTAACACAACATTCACAATAACCCAAAACTAGTAACATATCAGTTTTTTCAGCGAAGGTATAAGTTGCAGCCATAGTAAAGAAGATATTAAAAAACAAAGTAATCTAAAATTAAATGACACCTAGCTTGACATTGAACTTTTAATTAGTTATTATTATGAATTTGTTTCTTTCTTATGTGGCACCTCGTACTAGAATGATTTTACATTATTTAATGTGTAGAATATGCCAGTTTTACTCGAAATCCATAAACGATATCAAAATTTTGTAAGTCTTCTAAAATAGTGCTTATTTTTAAACAAAAAAGTTACGGGATAGCCAGTGGCGCACAGGCATTAGAAAGAGAACATCCTGTATATGTATTCTCACCAAATTAATTGTTTACATTGCTCTTATATAAAGAAAATATGTGTACCAAATTTGAAGTTTCTAAGAAAAACAGTTTTCAAATTATTTGAAAAAAACTAGGTTATCTGTTCTATATTTAGAAGGCTATATCTCAGTAGGCGTACACTTTTGTATATAGGTAAGTTAGGCTAAATAGTCTTATTTTCATCTAAGAAACCTGTGGTCAAGCGTTGTCCATCCTTTTCAGGGACAGCCTGTATATGTGTTCCACTAGATTTTTGAGAACATTAAGGTTTTACTTTTACTATATTCTCTGTTACGCTAGTTTTTAATGAAGTCCAAGTTCCAAGTTGAGTAATAAAAAACAGAATCATAATAATATTGTGTTAAAAAAAGACGATAATGTATATGATGACCCTAATAATGTAGTTTCTCTGTTTAATAATTATTTTATCGCATCTCCCGGAAAAATAATAAAATTCCTAAAGTAAATATGTTTCCACTCGAAAATCTGATTTCATCTCAAAATAACTCCTTCTTTCTTGCTCCCTTTAATGTAGATGAACTGTTTGCTATATTATCAAATAAGTTAAAGAATAAAAAATCTTCAGGACCACATAATATCCCTATGTTTTTGATCAAAAGAGTATTACGGCCTATTATTCAACCGCTTGCTTATCTTGTGAATTTGTCATTTGAAGTGGGTGCATTGCCAAATGTTCCCGTTCTTAAGAAGGGTGATCCAATGTCTCTTGACAATTATAGACCTATAACAATGTCTTTGGGATTTTCAAAAGTTTTTGAATATGGCTTCCTCGAGCGATTAACATCTTTTTTAAAGAAATATCATATACTAACAAAAAATCAACATGGATTTCGTGCAGGTATGTCTACTACAACTGCTATGCACTCTTTATCTATCCTCAGCAGGGCATTCGACTGTGTAAACCATACACTGTTATTATCTAAATTACAAAATGTGGGTATTCGCGGATTAGCACTAAATTGGATCAGGACTTTTCTTGAGGAGAGGAAACAATCAGTTATTATTAATTATAATAATCAGAATAATGTTTCTGTAACATATAAATCAGAGTATGCCTCTGTTAAGATGGGAGTCCCACAGGGATCAATTTTGGGTCCTGTGTTATTTTTATTATATGTCAACGATATTGACACTATTTCAACTAATGCTCACTTTACTATGTATGCCGATGATACATCTTTGGTTTTGTCTAATAAGTCAGATCAAATATTAATGCAAGATTGTCATATTTTATTGGATAATCTGAATAAATGGTTTTCCCAGAATTCATTATATCTTAATGTTGCTAAAACTCAAGTACTCCCTTTTCATACGAGTCGTGCTATTAATTGTAAAAACTTAAGCTTTGATATTAATGATTTTCCGTTGACTAGTACTGATAATACTTACGTAAAATTTCTGGGTTTATATTTAGACGAAAACCTCAATTGGAAATATCACTGTCAAAGTCTAATATCTAAATTGTCATCTATTACCTATTTGTTTCGAAATATCAGAACAGTTCTTCATATAGAACACCTTCTTTGTCTGTATTACGCCCAGGTTGAGTCTCGACTGAGGTATGGTGTCTGTTTTTGGGGCAATTCGGTATTAGCCTCAAATGTTTTAATTGCACAGAAGCGAATTTTATGGTGTATGGTAGGAGTTCCCGGTCATTACTCTGGTAAGGATATTTTTAAAATTTTAAAATTCTACCTTTACCATGTCTGTTCATATTTGAGATCTGCTTATATGTATTCAAAAATAAAAGTAAATTTGTTTTAAGTGATGCACTCCTCAAGTATAATACAAGACACAATACGAATTTATATGTTCCATTCGCTAGAATAAGAATAACGTCCAACTCTCCCGACTGTTTAGGTCCTAGGCTATTTAATAAGTTACCTAACCAATTAAAATTGCTGAAAAGTGAATATTTGTTTAGGAAAGCTTTAAAGCAGTTTTTATTGGAAAAATGTTTTTATTCCATATTGGAATTTTTACCTACTTTGTCTTAGTTTCTAAGTTTTATTTGACTATTCCTATACATATTATGTCTCTGAGGAAAATAAATTATTATTATTATTATTATTATTATTATTATTATTATTATTAAGTACGGTCCTGATTTCCGCGTGTTAGAAATGACTCCAATACTCACTTATATGGCTGTCAAATTGCACTGGCTGCTCTAGCTCCAGCAGCGCCAGGTCGTTCTCGAAGGTGGCCGCGTCGTACTGCCTGTGCACTATGACCCTCTTGACGTTCCTGCTGATCGACCGCTTGGTCTCCAGGTCGCCCGAGATGTCGAACTCTCCGAAAACGGCCACCAGGGAGGCCAGGAAGCCGGGCTGGCAATGCGCCGCCGTCATCACGTACTTGTGGCTGATCAGGACGCCCCCGCACTTGTTCTTGGTGAAGAGCCCCAGCCAGGTGGACTCCCGCACCAGCACCTGCCAGGGGAACTCCCCGAAGGTGGCGCCTTTGCCGCCTACGATCCGGCCGGTTTTTACCAGGGGTCGGACGCCGCACTCTGAAATCAGTCGGAGTAGTCAAAAATATAATGCTATTTTATAGTTTTCCGAATATAAATTATCACGAGGTGTAACAATTTGTGTCGACTGGTATCCATTGAAGGTTTTAACGGTATTTTTAGTCATTTTGAAAAGTGGTTGAATCGGTCGAATCAATAAATTTAATAGGTAACTTGCTTGAAAATTTAATTTGTTGTAAAACTGCATTTTGTAATCTATAACCCATAACAACTAACAGTGGTAGCAGAAATATTTCTTTAATGGAAAAATTATGAACAAATACATAAGAATGCATTGTGACGTCATTTAGTGCGATCGAAAACGGAAGCGACTTTTCGGCTGTCTGTCGTCTAGGAACCTAATCTAAAGATGAATTTGACTGTTCCTACACTCTTTTCGCCAAACTTTAATAATTAGTTATTATTAATAACCTCTAAGAGATTTCTAATATTTTTACCATATGATTAGATGAGGTTATAAATTATAGATAATTTCTAGGCATTTAAAAAAATACATGCAAGTTGCAGATTCTTTAGGTAGATAAAGAACCAGTGCAATATTATTTTTGGATCTATGTTAAAAACATAAGTTATAGAAGGGCGTGTTTCACAAAATGTATAAAACAATTACATGTATTTCAAATTTTAGTAAAATACGTATTTATGCTTTTAAAACTAATAATAACAGAGTTATCTATTCTATTTAGTTATTAACTTGAATGTAATAATATATTTTTATTTCTAGGGCTGCATGTAATTTCTAATACTGACCAGGAAGTCATTAAGGACTCTATTAAATAGGTAAGTCGCTTTTCCACATTTTTGGGGTGTTATAGGAATATAGACTTCTTCCCAATTTTATCTAATATATGCTTTTGATGCAGATTCACTGTTTTTTAGAATGAAAAAAAATATTTCACTTTTATAAAACTTCTTTGGAAATTAACTTTTTTTGTTATTATTCCTAGACATCATAGTAGCTAAATTAGCTTTAATGAAAAAATTTATTTGTCTTTAGCACAAAATATATGATGAATTGAACATTACTGAACTGAACGGAACTGAACTGAACATACTGAACATTTTAGTTTCGATATTGATTTCTTGTGTTTCTGTCTAACTGAGAATGTAGCATAAATATCTCGATTTTGGTATAATTTCATTTCAAAAATTAAGTAAAGATAAGATAGTTTAACAAAAACCCTTCCCAAAGTCTGTATTTATCTTTTTTAAGAAAGGTGAGGGTTGAATGTAAGTAAATTAAAAAATTTTTATTACTTTCCAAAGAAGTAACATTTTACAAAAATGAAAACAATTAAGGACTTCATTCAACAAGACAGAATTCCTTAACAATGTAGAGGCATTAAGAAAAAATGGGAAGATGGCTACTGCCACATCTTTTCCTCCGTACGGAAGGAAGTGTCATTTCAGGTTTTGACAAAGAAAACTGATTTTGTAAACGTCAACGAGATATTGAAGTGCGCTATACAGGGTGTTTGTAAATAAGAACGAAATATTTCAGGGGATGGTTGCCGAAGTTATTTTGTGGAAAAAGTTCCTAACCTAAACGTAGGCCGTAGGTCAAAATATGCTCCGTTTCCGAGATACAGAGTGTTTAAATTTTAATATTTTATTTATTTTTATTAATTATCTCAGAGTTTTAAAGACTCGTAATTTGATGGTTGTATTGTATTTAGAAATATTGACAGCAACCTACTAGATAATGTATCAAAAGAAATTAAAAATGCACACACCTTGCAAAAAAATTTGTTTTATTTTTTCTCAAAAACGGTGCTTCCTACGAAAAAAATGTAAAAAACCAATTTCATTCAGGATTTCTAAAAAAATATCAAAACGGGAAAAAGTCGCTGGCGTACCATTTTATTTTTTATAAAAAATGGTTGTGACATCCTCGCACGAACGCCAAATTTCCTTTCAATATCTTTAAAACTCTGAAATAGTTAAAAAAATAAAATTTAAACACTTTATATCTCGGAAACGAACTACGTTTATATGAACTTTTTTTCACAAAATAACTTCGGCAACCACCCCCTAAAATATTTCGCACTTATTTACAAACACCTTGTATATAGTGATGTATAGTTTCTATTCGTCGGTATTTTTTCAGTGTTCCTTTTTGGTTAAACTAAACTATTTTATTAAAAAATAACCCTTGCCCGATCTTTTTGGCACAAGGGTTTATTTTGTTATTTTTTTTTCATCCAAATAGAGAAAAAAATGTGTTGAGAATGCATAAGTATGACTCAGTATGATCATATTATTCGAAATGCCAAACAAGTTATGTATTTCATTTGATAGGGGTTTTAGAGAGAGTAGCTTCTCCAAATTGGGATTTGTTCAAAATATTAGCATGATTAGCACCTTATTTAGTCAGAAATACTGAAATTTTGATCCTTTCAATTTGCTACTGATTGAAAAAAGTTTTCTGTCTTGGAAAGGTAATTATATCTACATTCTTATTCTCTCAATTCCGCAGGACCGTACTACGATTGTTCTCTTAAAGTTGCAGGACAGTACTGTAATTTTTCTGTAAAAAAAAAATGTCGTTTATATTTGGTTTGCAGATAGACAGTTTAATTTTAACTACATATGTTTACGTTCTTGAAAGCCCCATTTTAAGGGGTAAAATATTTATTGGAAAAATATTTTAAATTATTTGTAATGATCATTTTAACGATTGTTATCTAAATTTAATGGATATTATTCTTTAACATGGATAAGGGAATATCCTAAAAACAAATGACCCTGTGGGCCCTTTCGTCTCCAGGTGGACATTTGGAGCTTCGGGACAACATATAAATTTTTCAGGATATTTCATCGAAAGACCAATTTCCATAAGGCGTGTGCGGGGTTCTTTTATGAAATATTCACTCTCAGATAACTGACCTACTTACATAATTCTATTATTTTTTATATTTAAAATAATCTAATCAATGAGCAATTACCGAACGCTGACAGGGTTATCAATCAAGATATTCATAGATGTTCTAAAACCGGAAAGGCCTGAATCGATTCCTCGTTCATTTTAAAAGGTCAGTTTATATCTAATTATGGCACAAAGATACGGCTTGTTAATCAAAGGATAAGAACTAATTACATTATGTCTTGTCTCAACAATAAGCGATGCTTTCAGCTAACCTTTTGGTAAATAATCTGCAACGTAGCGAAGCCCGTGTTCAATGCAGCTGTGCTTCTAACCCACGCAGTTTAATGTATCGCATAATAGTTAGATTAGTTGTTTGTGTGATGGACAGAGAAGATGTGTGCATCTCTTGTTTTAAATTTATCGTTTTTAAAATAAGTTCTTGAAAATATTTTATAGCGCATCGTGTTGATTCAGGGTATAATTTTACACAATATGTCTCATAACTACCTAATGGGTAAAGATCAAAATATGTTAAAAAAAACAAAAGACTGTATTCAATCTCAGCTACCGCAGAAACCCTAATATTTTGCATTAGAATATCTAAGAAATGGTGGAGTTATAAACTTTTTCTTTTAAGAAAATAAAATTATAGGTAGTAATTGTTATAAATTGGTTTATGTTCATTAAATGGAAATACCCTTGCATTAATAATACAACAAACTACTGTATAATAATTTCATTAGTTGTGAGGTAAACAATTACTGATCGATTTCTTGTTTTTTTTGTGAATTTATATCTGTAAAATGTATGCAAAATTGCAAGTTAGTAGATAGTACGCCACAGATACCAATATTTTATATGGTAATGTGCTATTAATTTTGAAAGAATAGGATTATTTTATATCAAAATGTCTTATTAATCTAAAGCCATTGCTTCTGTTTTAACTGACATAAGTAAATTGTTGAAACTGGGGATAATAATTTATTTACTAAATGTAAAAATTCACTGAATTGATATAGTAAGAATCTTAGAATTTCGATGCCTATGAATATTTTTAAAAATAAATAATGCTCTTAATTCGAGATGATAGTACCTAAAAAAAGTATTTATTTGAAGAATGGACATCTCGTGGTTATCTTTTCAATTTAATATACATTTAACACGGTTTAATATAAAATAAATTTAAAATAACTCTAAAACTATTCGTTTCACCAGAAAAATGTATAGGTATTTTTTATTCGAAATACAGTTAAGAATATGTAGACACTAAAAGTTAAGAAAAAAGATTAGTGTACACGGAAAACAAATTATATACAAAATTTTACAATTTTGACAGTATATAAATCACGACCAACCATAACTTATGTCACCATAAACTGTATTTAAAATGTATTTTACTTTACCACCATTTCAAATTAAATTAAATTAAAGCTAATGAGAATTGATTGAATATAATAAAGGCGTAAAACTTACGGGTGTAAAGATCAAGTTCTGCATTACTATTTTTTAATTAATTTCTATAAAGAATTTTAAATAAAAACATTTCGGAAAAGTATGTTTTAGTAAATATTTTTTCAGTGTATATTACTTTCCACTACAAACACAGAGGTAGATATACAGGGTGTCCCACAAAGAATTGTACATAGAATAACAGGTGATTTGTGACATCCTAATAATGTGACCTGGCCAAACTTACTTTAGTCCAAAAGTTGACAGTAACCGAGTTACAGGGTGTCAAAATCTAAATTTTAATTTAATTTATTTTAAATAACCTTCGAAATAATTGATGTATTTAAAAGAAATTTGTAAATTCTAGTCATGTGGGAAGATCTGTCATATGGACGATTTATTTGCAGAAGTACTTTGATAAAGTGCATCACTTTGAATCTTTTAAATGTAAATATCTCGAGAAAGGTAATTCCTAGCGACGTTAAGAAGGTATACCATTTTGATGTAAAAGTGATGGAAAAAGCGATATTGCTACCAGAAAATAAAATCCAGTGTGTAGTAAAAAATTTGTGAACTAGTTAGTGTAGAAGTTCTAAGAGGCGGTGTAAGTGGCGCCCTCTAGAATATTTCATGTCAAAAACCTCAAGGTACCAAATTATGTTTAAATACATTATTTAGAAGGTTATTTTAAAAAATTTAAATCTATCAACATTTGGACTAAGGTAAGTTTGACCAGATCACATTATTATGACGCCATGATCATTTCATTCTGGGACACCCTGTATATTTTAGAATTCAATATGGTATTAGTAAATTCTGTTGTAAAAAAACTAATACATTGGTTAATGGAATTATATGAAAATATTTTTTATACATGACTACAATTGATAATTTACTATAAAGTACAAAAAGGTACAAAGGCACAGAAGGTATAAAAAGCAGAATTTAAAAATTTCTAAACGATTTTTCTTTTAATAACTACATTGTACCTATAATGTATTTGGAAAAATCCTTACACATTATTTAGTAGTTTTTAGAGCTTATAGATTCATTTATTTGCGTGATAAGCTCATTATAAATTAGAAAAATAGTCGAAAGTGGTTGACGTTTTTTATTAAATGGAAGATATATTTTTAGTGATTGTGCCCCTAGCTTTCCCTTTACTTATATGTATTCAAATTTTGTGAATTTTTGCCTTTAATTAGTTAACTTTCACCGGTTAATTAAATCTTTTAGGACCAAATGACCCAAGAAAACAATTTCGTACAGTTATGGCGTAGAAGAAAACGAACTGTATAATCAGTTTCTTATTAAATAAAATTTATATTTATTACAAACTCAACACACTTTTCAAAATGAATTATCCCAGAATCCAATAAACGTTTTATTTGAAATACTCTTTATCTTATATCTGTCGATAATTTATATTTATTAATAAAATTGAAACATATTTTTTTTCATGCTTACTTACGGGTCCTGTAATCTTCACTGTCAATGGGGATGTTGTCTTCAGTCTGGTGGTCGATCAAGGACTCTGTAGTAGTAGTTATAGGCTTCCTAGTCGTAGCCCTGGTCCTTTTCGTAGTCGTTGTTTGTCTTCTAGTGGGAACCGTTGTTGGAGGCCTTCTAGTTGTCGTTCTTTTTGTCGTAACTGGTCTCACGGTAGGCTTGGCACTCGTTGCTGGTCGGATATTGGAAGAGGTAACTGGCCTAGTTGGTTTAGCTGTAGAAGTTCTTGGAGGTTTCTTCGTTGTAGTGCCTTGCTTTCTAATTGGCTTCTTCGTAGACGTACCGGCAGAGTTTGTAAGTAAAACAGTTGAATTCTTTTTGTTGTAAACGATATCCTTCAACCCCCCGAAAGGTTCTTGTAGCCCTTGAATTACTTTATTGACGAAGGATTCTATGTTAGCGTTCAAAGCGTCATCTTCTATGAAAGCAGGAGTCGTTATATCATCTTCAGTTAAAGAGGCAAGGGACGACATGTTAAGGTTAGGATTTCTCACTGGGGGAAAATTTATTAAATCATCTTGAGATGATGGTGCTGCTATTTCGACAGTGTCCGAAGTTTCCTGTGGTCTCAAAGAAGTTGAGATGCTAGGCTTAGGAGTTATCAGTACTGTGGGGGATGGACTCTCACTGGTACTGTATATGTTTTGAGTCACGTGGTTATTTATCGTTACTTGATTGATAGGTTTGCGTTGTGGGATGGCAGTTGGACGGTGAACTGTCACTGGATATTGTTCGTATGTGCTAGCCACAACAGAAGGCCTTTCTGGTATAATTTCATTGTCGGTCACAGGCCCCAAGACGATTACAGTAGGTGCTGGACTCGGGTAGTTTGAAAATTGTCCGAGAGTGCTCGATAAAGGAGCGGAAGTGACGGTGAATCCAGGGCCGGCTATGTGAGTATTGACAGTTGAAGGTGGTCGTCGTGTTGGTATAGAACTGTAAATGTATGACGTGGAAGGAGGTCTTTGACTCGTCAAGAAAGCTGCTGGATAATTAGCCACGGTTGTCTTGCTTGGCTTTACGTGAGAAGCGATGACTCCAATAGGTCTTTTCGTGATTATAGTAACTGGACGACTTGTTGTAGGTTTTGTTGGTTTGGGTCTCTTCGTAGATGTTTTCTTTTTCGTGGTGGTAGGCGACTCGGTTCTTCGTGGAGGTACAGTGGTACTGAACACGTATGATGTAGATGGAGGCTTTGGGGATGTTGGCTTTTCGATGTCAGATACTGGTCGTCTAGTCACAGTCGTGCTGAAGACGTAAGAGGTAGACGGAGGTTTCTTTGTGGTACTATTTAGGAGATGAATTATGTTTACTATAGAGTCGTATTCCTGAGTTTTGTTTGGCTTAGGAGTGTCGTGCATTATGGTAGGTACTAAAACGTATTTGTCTATATCTGAAGGTTTGGAAGGCTTGGATGGTTTCGGTCTGAACATGGGTCTGTGGATAGCTGGGGAAGGCGTATACTCTAGAGGTGCGTTTGATACAGAGATATGAAGGATAGGCGAGCTAGCGTATGGAATAGTGGTTTCTTCATTTCTCATTGTGGTTTTTCTATCTTCCATCGAAGGGCGTGTAGTGGGCATAAAATATCCCGGGTCTATTTCGTTGTCCTGCTGGTTAAGAACAATCGTCTCTACATTCTGAGGATGTGTTACTCCAGTGGTTGAGAAATAAGACTGATCACCTCCTATTTGCACCATCACGTTATCTTGAGCCGTAGGTAATACGCTAGGACTTAACAAGGAAGCAGTAATCTGTGAGACTCCACTGGAGGTGATGTCCAACATAGGAGTTGTGGGCGGTCTCTTGGTAGCTATTGAAGATGATATGAATGGACGAGTAGACAATGTGTTTTCTATTGGGCTCACTGCTAGGAGTTCGCTAGTTAAAAACTCTCCGACCTCTACTCCTGCTGGAAGCTGGCAGCAGGCGCCGAAAAGGAAGCCATCCATGCAAGCTCCCACGACTTCGCCATTTCTATGAAGGCATTCGTGGTTGAACATGCAGATGTTGGGTCCTCCTGTGGGTTTTGTTGGTTGTCGGGTGGGTTTGCAGAATCTGGGCGTTATCCTGTAGCCTCCGAATAGTTTGCGAGATTCTGAAACAAATAAAAAACTGTTAAAATAAAATTCGAAACAAAATATAACGTTATCCATTGTTTAAATTTTTGCATATTTGTTTATACATATTCGTACATGGTTAGCAATATTATTAAATGTAAGTTGTTAATAAAATGGATAATAAAGACAAATTTTCAAGTTTACACTGAGGACTGCTTTTTTGTTTAACCCTAGAGGGAAAATAAATTTATGGAATATCTAATAAACTCCCGCAAAAATTAATTAACGTATGGCTTTTCTCCGTCGTTTCCATACCGGTTAATTATAAAGGGTTACATTAATGTAGTCGGGTAATTAAGCATGAAATATAATAAAGAATGAGGAATTTTCTCCCTTTTTACACAAACGAACTTGCAAAAGAAACTTTAGCATAATAACGATTTTGTAATAACCGTAATAATCTCTTTCATACCATCTAATAAAGCTTTTTCTGTTATCGATTAAAGGTTTTGTTCTTGGCGGAGTTTTTAAATTCAATGCAATTTTTATGAGTATCTAATTTTCAGTGAGATTTGGGAATAGGTGCAGCATGAGAAATGGAATCAATATCGTAAAAAATTTTTTGTAAAATCCTTATAGTTTTCGAGAAAAAAAATATTGAAGTTATAGTACATTCAACCACTACATAGCTGGACAACTGTAGTCTCTAGCGTCATTCGCTACGTGGCCTCAGCGACTCCGAATACTGAATTCGGATTTTGCAATCGTCGTTACGATATTTACTTGCTATCTGTGGTGTTTTTAGTAGTTAGTGTCAAAAATGGGTAGTTTGTGTCAAAAATGGTTTGCGTGTACTCGGAGTTGATGGATATCGTTTTAATTTATGGTGACGCATTTGTGTTATGGTGAAACAAGACAACATTTGTGTTAGTTCGTAGAAACTGAGTACAACGGACCCAAATGTGTTTACACATTGGTGGATAAAATTTTGAATAATTGTTGTAACATCGGGTATGTCAAATGATTTATTTATTTAAAAACACAAATTAATTTTATTAATTAATAAAGGCAAAAGCAGTTGAATTTGCCGATATAAAATAGGTGCGATAAAATTCTATTTACATATTTCTTTCCTTGCGAAAGTTTTTGTCCGTTTTTATCACACCGCCATGCCGGTCGCATTGTGCGAGGTCAGGTTTTACAGTGGACCAGTTTCCAGTGCCGTGCAGAAGTGTATTTTAAATCATTTTCGAACTGCCCTTTTTGATTTTTTCTTTACAAAATTGTATTTGTAAGGGTCCCCTGTACATCCAGAATTTTTTTTTGGATAAGTTCTGAATCACCCTGTATTTTCTACAGTGTTATGATAGATTACTAAGTTTCATTGATGTTCAGAATCACGTATTTTAGGATTTGTACGTGAACATTTAGATGATTAGATTGTATACTTTCATACCCGATCACCGATAGGTTGAAAGATAGGCTTGGTTACGTTCTGAAGAAGGACACTACAACAAGCACCTAAACTTCAAACCTTCATGACTACGACATCGTTTGGAAGACACCTCTTCATTTTATAAAGACTACTTTACAGCAGTTTTAGCAGCAACATGGGAAATTGGTTCAATTTAACAAAAGTGTTACAAAGTTCGACTGGTACGAGGATATACCAAAACAGCTGACTAGAATTTTTATTCATTTAATGATTATATCTTGACCTTTTGCATTCTCATGCTTCGAAAATTGAGGTCGCTGTTTTCCTGTGTTTCATGAGATGAAAGTGATGACAAGAATACTGCTATACACATGTCGCATATGAATCATTTCCCTGGTTTTGATTACATCCAGTGCATCACTTTTTTTTGCATTGCGTAAATGCAAGTCATTCTAATATTTCTTCTGAGCTTTACTTAGATGGATCACTTGATGGAGTGTTTGAGAAAATAACAATATTGATATTGCTTTTGTAAAAGAGAAAAGCATGAAATATTAAAAAATTACACCCCGTTTTTTCAATTTTATTCAAATATTTGGACATTGGCTGTAGCTTGTACCTACAGGACTTTTGATTAAAATGTGGTAAATTGTTAAAACAAAAAGTATATATTTAAAATGTTTTAGTTAGGCCAACTAATTGCTTTTTTCACAAATATTTTCATTTGTTAAAAATGTACTTCCGTTTCAGTAAACCTCATTTAACATTTTTCAGAGTAGACAATTTTTTAATTAAAAAATAATTTCAGTAATTTCATTATTTGGTCTTCCCTAATTAATTAAATTTATTTTTAGATATTAAAAATGCTTTTATAAAACCACAATTGAATCTTTCAGGGCCTGTAATTCTATTTTTTCTGTGAATTCCGCTGGGCGAGCATTGTGAATGAATTATTAAAATCTAAATTTCACAGTCAGGCAACAGGCCCCTTAAAAGGAGGAACGGGTTACTTGTTTTTAGTTCGTTTAATGAAATTTGTCGAATTGATGGTTTTTGTGGTTTTTGAGGCATTCCAACAACATAAGTAGAGTAATTACATTTATTATCCAATTACCGTGCGACTCGTCATATACCGTTAATATTAAATGGAATATGGGGTTGCTTAAATTTGTTTTTACGGAAGGAATATTGTAAAAATTGTATGTAACTTTTAAAATTTATTCTATTACAAATTTTGTAAATGAAAAAAATAAAAAGCATGATAAGTAGATATGTATAATTTGCAATAATAATTTTTCAGTTATTGAAACTAGCTTTTGTTTTTACTAAGAGCAGCAACCATTTTACATTTTTTACTAGAAAATTAGTAATTCACTTGACTAGTAAAGGAATATGTATTAAAGACATTATGAACTTTGTAATTAATAATAATTTTTTCCGATATATCCTATAAACATTTTAGTAGTTTTTTTATAATTATAGATATTCTAGTCTGCAATTGCACTTTTATTATCACATAATAAATTGTAAGAAAAACTGATACCACTTAAATTCAATCGAGACTGTAACACCTTCATAAGTTCTACTTTTTGATTGGTATAATGTTTTTCAAAAGGTGCTTTTCTAAATTAGATTCCACTTGTGAAGGTATATAAACCTATAGACCTCAAACATTAAGACTACCTGAGAAAATTATGCAGTTAATAGTCTTAAATGAAACATTTTAATTGTTTACTTTTATTACAATTTAAATTATATTTTATAATAATATCAAAAAATTTTCGTGCCCTTGTAAGAATGTATACATAGTTGAAATAGGATAATGAATTAAGGGTCTAGAATTATTTACTAACCCAACGTTTCGATTTTATTTAAAATTTTCTTCAGGTTTACAAATATTAATAAAAATGTTAAAACATATTTGTAGAATATAATTTGAAAAACATTACAACATAATTTAAAACATATTTCGACAATAAAAAAAATACATTAAAATTATTAATTAAATTATTAATCAAGCATACACAATAAAAAACAAGAATAAAATATATCTTTATGTACATATATTTTAGTATCTTTTTATTATTAGCTATAATCCCGAAGATTTTAAATAAAATTGAAACGTTGTTTTAGTCAGAAAATCAAGACCCTTATTTCATTTCCTTTTTGTTATTTAATAATAATGACACGACGAGTTGTAGATTTACAGCGATAAGAATTTAATAGTCTTAAGTATCTGCAAAAAAAATTACAGAAATAAATGTAATATAGCTACATATTTATATTGCTGAAATTAGGAAAATCTGTCACATTATATTAAGAAATATAGTGTTTCTTATATATTAAAAAAATATACATTTAGAAGCCACGTATAGGATATTTTTTTTTCTAAAAACGAATTTCAAAATCTCTCAAAGGACCATCCAACTTTTAAAGGTGACTTTTCCTACTATAGTCGAAAATAAAAAGATCACTGATCATTTTAGTGGGAAACCTGTAAGGTCTACAAAAATTAATTGAAATCATTCCGTAATATCAACTTTTTAACAAATTTTTGAAATGTAAAAAATCCTGAAATCAGCGAATGGAGTTATACTTAATGCTAATGAAGAAAATTATTATTTTATCTAGTTTTTTATAAGAAATGGAAACATTTTCAAAGAAATATTAAAAAATTTATATATGCAAAGTGGAACGCACCATAGGTTATCTCAGTTTATTATATGATGCTCCACAAAAAAAATCGAGAAAATTACCCCTGGGGTCTGACTATCTCTATCATATGTTTTTGGCATCGCTGAATCCAAATTGGGGGTCCATTTAACCCCACCACGTTAGGACTTTTCATAACCTCAAAAAATAAAATACGCAATAAACGCAATAAATCTATCTATTGACCATTCAATCCCAATAACTCCATAACCTCCTAACTCCTTAATCCCTTACATCCTTAAACCCCATAACCTCAAAATGCCATAACCCCAACATCTCAGAACCCGGTAAGAAAGAGACTTATTGAAGCCCTGAAACACAGTAGGTTCGAGCCTCTTATAGAAGAACGCTCAGGGTTGGAAATTGGGGACGAAATTTTGGGGGACGTGTATAGTATGTTATAGGTTTCTACGTGCATTTCAATTTCGTCCCTGACTTGTAACCTATGAACGTTTTTCTGTAAGAGGTCTATATTCGTTGCCTATACTCTTTAATAACCCCATAACCGTGTAATTTCATAAACCCGTAAAGAATACTCTTATGTACGAACTCTTATGAGTCAAATCTTCGGACATCATTGCTATTCATGTGAGGCAAAGGGAACACACGTTAATAAAGCACCCCAAAGGGAACAGAAGCCTACCACTCGTCGTTGTTCCTGGGTTCGGCAAAACGTAGGTTCTCCCAACGAAAGTCTCGTTCGCACCGGGTTATGGGGTTTCAGAGTTATAGGGTTATTGAAAAATGTGGGTTTAAGGCTCAAGAAGCATGCATGGCTTGAACATTTCAGGGCTTCAACGCTCATAAGTATCTTTCTTACCGGGTACTGGGGTTTTGGGGTTATGGCATTTTTGGGGTTAAGGGGTTAAGTGGTTAAGGATTTAAGAGATT